TCACAGCTTATTTAACCCCCAGCCTCGAAGAATTTATTTCCATTAATATCGGCTCAGCTGATGACCCAGCCTGCTGCTGGATGCCTGTTAAGGGCTTCCTTCCTGATGCCATGGTCGCCTTTGCCAGCGGTTTGGCTCGCGGTGGTCGATGGTGCATGATGCAGATATTCTTCAATGCCAGGAATTACTACTTTACTCTAAAAAAAATGATAAAAGCTTAACAAGTGAACCAAACAGTTTTGACAGACACAAGAAACTTCTATGTACACATGAACTGTATGTACAAGTAGTGGCATCGCGTCAAATTGGACCAGCTTCTGATGATGTTCGGTATGTTTCTGCTTGCAGATCCTGGGTCTGGTCTTCTCCATGACCATGTTCTCCTCAGGCAGCTCCTTTCCCTTCCCCGCCGCATGTACTTCATGCTGCCCCCCCTTTCCCTTCCCTGCTGCCCTTCTCTCCTTAGATGCGCAGAAGGCATTTGACAGGATGAATTGGACTTTCTTATGGAGGCTCCTCGATCAAATGGGCATCGGCATGTATTTTATCAACTTGGTCCAGACCCTCTACTCCTCTCCCTCCTCAGTCCTCTTGACTAATGCCAACACCTCTCCTCCTCTTTGACTTTCTCAAGGTGCCAGGCAGGGCTGTCCCTTATCTTCCTCACATCCTTAATTTGTTTTAAACATATGAATCCCTCTCTGGCTATAAGATTAACAGGTCAAAGTCTTCTCTCCTTCCACTGAATCTTGCCTGTCGCTCTTCTTCATTTCCTTCTTCTATTCCTCAGATGGACTCTTTCAGATACCTGTGGTTGGACATCTACCCCTCTGTCCCGGAGCTTACAGCTGCTGGTTTCCGCCATGTTCTGGAAGGTATTAAAATCTCTACCTCCTCATGGTCTCTTTCCCTTTCATTCCAGGTGAGACTGGCCATTATTAAAATGAACGTCCTCCAGAGGATTAATTTTGTTAGTTCCTTACTTCCGCTTCCTCCTCCACCTAGATACTGGGCTTCTGTTAAGTCTGTAGTTTCTGCATTTCTTTGAGATGGTAAGAGACCTTCTGTTAAACATTCCACTCTAACCCATGACCGGTTAGATGGGGGTGTCGCCCTCCCACATTTTGAACTGTACCACCATGATTTCACCCTAAGGGAGTTGGATCAATCCTCCCCAGAATCCCCCTGTCTGGCTTCTCATCCAAGCAGGATGTCATTCCCCACTGTCTAACCTCTCTCCCTTTCTTGCCCATTAAATTAAAATCTATCTTGTCCTCTGTTGGTCCAGTTATTTCCCATGGCCTTCGTACATGGAGGAGGGTTGAGCGATTGCTGGGCCTCTTCCCGAAGTGACACCCCCGCACTCCGCTGTTCCACAACCCTGTCCTGAACATTGGAGGCCCCATCTCCAGCTCACCATGGTCATCGTCAGGCATTTCTACTCTCCGTGATATTTTTGACAGCTCGGGTCTCAAAACGTTTCAGTCTCTTGTGTCCATGTTTAACCTTCATTCCTCTTTGTATTCTTTTTACCTCCAGCTGAGATTTGTGCTTAGGGCTTGTAGTCTCTCTTTCTCCTCTCCTCTTCCTCCTCATCCGCTCTGCACATTTGCTTCGACTCTCTCCCCCAGTTCTAAGCCCGTATGCAGTCTCTATTCCCTTCTCCACAAATCCTCTTACAAACCTCTCTCTGTCACTTCCGTCTGGCAGATGGAAAAAACTGTTGTAAAAATCCAAATCATCAGCAAACACAATTTAAATTTGTCCATAGTTTGTACCCCACTCC